ACTGGCTGCAGTGCTCTGCATGATACATTTTAATGCTCCATATAACGTTTTTATTTGTTTTGGTAGCGTCCTTTTTCATTGTGCTTTTTACATGTCAGAAATCCTTAGGCTCTTTATGCCAACTTGTTTCCTCAAGCTGCCCACTTGCTGCATTTCCAGTCAGACCTTTGTTTCCAGACCACTTTCCTTCGCTATTTTGTGTGAGGCATGGGCAATAGGGTACAGCTAATTCCCTTCTAAAGGAGAAGTCACAGAGACAGCAGCAGCTGCAAACACCTCCCAGCAAAGCTGCAGACAGAAAACAGCTGTTAGCAAAATGGTTTTGCTCTGTACTTGAAACAGAAAGTGTATGGCAAGGAATGAATGCATTCCCACTGAGAAGCTGAGGGACTCGCAGGGCCACCCCCTTGTTATGGTCTGCCTTTACTCTGAAAAAGCAACACAGTAAGCAGCATGATGGTGATCCTTGCCTAACTATATGGACACAGTTTCAATTTTTCATCTGAGATTTGTTTTCAGAGCTGAAAGGTACATCCAGAAAAGAAACACTGAGATCCTAACTAGATGCTGGACTTATGAAGTACGTGGGAGATAGTCAGCACTGGGCTATCAATGCTCTTCAGAATAATATTACCACTGTGTTTGGAAAGGACTGAATTAGGGATGGGAGGGGGAAAAAAACTCCTATAAAATGCTGTATTTTATGCAGAGTGGGCAGCCTATGAAACAAGTAAATGAAACCTAAGGGCAAAGGCATACCTATATAGATGCCTGCGTTGTCATAGCCACATACAATTATACAATACACTGAAATGGAAGTGACCCACAAGGACCACTGAGTCCATCTCCTAGATTAAAGTATTGTTTGAAAAGACATTGCTTCCTGTAATGATTTAGTTAGAGGAAGCTTAGAAATAAATTTCTTTGTTGTTTACTTCTATTTGCTACAATTAGATTCTGCAACTTCCTTCTGTTGAGAACTCTGTAAGAACACCCACCTGAAAGAAAACCATAACGTTGGTGGTTGCTGTGGTGTGTTCTTAAGTTTGTTAGTTTGCTCTCCCATTTTCTGTATTAAATGGTTTCTTCCTTTCCCAGGACCCTGTCAGTTAGGTTGCTATGGAAATGAAACTGCTCCTCCCCTGGTTTCTCTTATAAAGTGAAAGTGCCTTCTCCTTGGGCTCAGTCAATCACTCCTTTTCTCCTCCCAGGTTTCGAGAATTTTCTTTTCTCTGGGAGTTATGGTTGGCTGTAGCCCCAGAGCCCCTCCTATGATTTATAACAGTTGGTTACTTTAGTATATCAGTTATGTTTCGTACCTCCAAATATGTATTTCTATTGGATAGCCGGGTTTCCCTGCCTT